ATTGTTTCTAAGATGAATGACTCATCTCTCCTTGATTGTTTTATTCTGAGGGAGGATTCAGGGCCAGAGGACTAGACATTGTTTCTAAGATGAATAGCCTAAGTCTGAGGCCTAAGGACCATAATGAGAACAAGGGAATATAAATCTCTATAATGTTGTATGTATATATGTGTACTTATATGCGAACAAGGCTAGTCGGGCATTGTTTCTAAGATGAATGGCCTGGCTATAGCCTATGTATATATGTGTACTTATATGCGAACAAGGCTAGTTGGGCATTGTTTCTAAGATGAATGGCCTGGCTATAGCCTTATCACAAGCGAAGAGAGTATAATCGAGAGTTATAATTGAAGGTAATTTGACCAGGTTGAGCATTGTTTCTAAGATGAATGGCTCAACCTTACGCCCTCCTTTTGAAGACTAAGGTGCAGAGAGGTATATATAACTTGGCTATTTAAACAGTTCAGGGCGACTAAGCATGGTTTCTAAGATGAATGGCTTAGTTACATGCCCAATGAAGAGAAAAGTAGTTGTGCAACGTGTTCGTGTATTACTAAGGCAGAGGGCTGGAATTGTTTCTAAGATGAATGGCCAGTCCCAATGCCCTATGTAAGCAGGGTATAAAGGGATAAAACACTGAAAGACCATGAACTAATGTTTGCTAAGTCAACCTGGGGTTGGTGAGAGTACTCACCTTTGTGGTTTGAATTGCATGGGGCTGAGTGGCATCACTACCTAGTCTGAGTTTGAGTTGATGGGTAGTTGCTGTAATAGCTCGCCACGTACTAGAGCTATAGGAGCTAGATTAAATTTCTGTATTTTCTGAGATATTTTTTTTTACTTAGTCTGATTTCTGCATTTTTCTGAGATCTTTCTTATACTTGGGCTTGCATAAATCTTGGTAAGCCACTTTTCCTACAGGAAGCGCTGCCGAAATTTCTGCAAATCCAAGGAGTTAGTCAAATTTAGATTTTTCAAAGTTCAGCTTGTCTAAGTTACATATATGGCATAGTAGAAAGTCTCCCTTTCTAAAGGGAGTGCTGCCCAAATTTTTGCTAGTTCAGGGAGTTTGACAAAATTGGACTTTGAAAAATCAAAGACTATTCCTGTTTTTATATCCAGGCTTATATAAATTCTGGAACGACAATTTTCCTATGGGAAGCGCTGCCGAAATTTTCTTAGTTTAGAGGAGTTAGAT